TCAGAGCGGCCCTACAGAACGCGGCAGGGAGCACTGCCCCGTGGGTTTCCAAACTAAGTCTGAGAGTAGAAAGCCCCACCTTCCTCCTGAGGAGTGGTTGGTGGGTTTGAACTGCTGACGCTGCAGTTATCCGCCCCACCCGTACCCTACCATGCTCCCTGGAGGAGTCCCGCCCTATCACCCAGGAGCACCAGACAACCAAACTCACTGCCATCAAGTCGATTCACGGTGCAGCTGCCCTTGTGGGTCCCCAACATGGGCGAATGGCCCAGTGCCTAACGTCTGTGCCCGGGCCTCCTTCCTGGAGGGCAGCACTGGGATGATCCTATCATCTGAGGACCCGCAATGACGCTAGTTTCAGAGCTAAGGCTTGGGGAGGCGCTTGGTTTGCCTGCTTGCCCAAGACGGCAGAGCTTGTTAGTGGTGACCCCCACCCCCTGGAGATTATCCAGCTCCTTCAAGACCTCCCAGCTGCCTTTCCCTCCTCTTACTCAGTTATGGAGCTCAGTGACCCTAGCCACCCCTCCCTTTCTATGCCAGAGAGGCTTAACTTTTGGGGGGGTGGGGTAGGGACCGGTGGGAAGGAGTGATCTATTTGCATGGCTGATCCAAGGTATGGATCCCTCCCAGAAAAATATAAATACTTTTATACAGAATTTCTCAAGAGCCCATACGCCCCAATTAAGGACTTATCAACATAAGGACTTATAACAGAAACCAAGCGGGTTTTCACAGGGAATCCACACACACCTGGAGGCTTCCTTCGAGCCCCCGGGCTTGCCCCTTTACAAGTCCACCACAGGCCCTACTTCCTTCGGAAGTCCTACTTGGGAAACCCTGCAGAATAGGAATGTGTAGCCCACCTGTTCAGGGGAGCCCCCAGCCAAAAGACCTGCTCTATGATCTGAACCTCGTATGCCTGTCTTTACCCACCTCTCCCCTCACTATTCCTGCTAATGAGATAGTTTTTAAGTTATTCCAATTAGCAGAGTTAAGAATTTGGAAATCTAGGAAACCTACATATTTCTTAAGGTTTTAAATAAAGTAAAACTGAAATAAGAATGTGAAAATATAAAGCCATCTTTGCAATGAGGAGGCTCTTGCTTCCTATGGGAGTTTTTCAGTTAACTTGGTAGCTGAAGTGGATGGCACAGCAATCAGGGGCACACCTGTTTCCCAGGACAGTGGGACGGAGTGGCCTGTTAGATATGGTCGCACGCAGGCCAGAGACAGCTCATTGGTGGCCGTCGAGGGGCTGTTGTTTTTGTGACACATTTAGGCCTTTAATAAAAAAAATCCAACTCCCAGACTCATTGCCGTGGGATCGATCCTGACTCACAGGGAGCCTGTAGGGCAGTCGAACCCCTCTGTGGGGCTCCAAGGCTGTAAGCCTTTATGAGAGCAGAAATCATTCTCCCACAGAGTGGCTGGTGGTTTCGAACCACCGACCCATCACTAGGGCTCCTAGTAAGGGTGCATTGGCTTTAATTTTTAAGGAGGCCCCGCCCCTTCATGGCCTGTGGAATGCAGTGGCTGGCTCCCAGGCTGTCCTCTCACCATGGGAAAGATGCTCTCTGGGAGCGCTCTAAGGGACCCTATCAGGGGAGGAGAAGGAGGCTGAGCCCAACAGCCTCAGCGGGGTGGGGGCGGGGCAAATTAGGCAGTTAACTGGTCAACTGGTTGGCAGAAACTTCCATTCTCCAGGGCCCTCCCACATCTTCCCCAGCCCCAGCCCTCAGGGTCTCTTCCTGGGGATGGGAGTGGGGGGAGAAGTGAAGAGCCCTGGGCAGAGGTGGCCAGAGGCTTAGGAAACTCTTCACTGGTACACTTCCTTCTGAACACCACCTGCTTCCCCCTGGCTGCCCTGGGTTCTAACGGAAGTCCTTCCTCATTAGTGAAAACAGGCAGGCATGTGCTCTAATTGCAAAGTATCAGCACACAGACAAGACTGCGGGTCTGCAGCCAGCTGACGGCTGACACTGTAAATCCTGCAACTGCACAAACAGACCTGGGTCTCCCCCTAGGAGAGCCCGCGTGCATGCTTGCTTGTGTGTGTGTGTGTGTGTGTGTGTGTGTGTGTGTGTGTGTCCCCGTGAGCGTGTGCATTCGGGTGCCTGTGTGCATGCACCAAGGGTGGGGCTGTTGGGCAGGGGCCTTAGGCCCACCAGAGCAGCGCTACGTCCAGCAGGAGCGGCTGGGGCCGACTCCCCGCAGGCCAGTGAAGACGGTGGAACAAGCATCTGGGTTATCGGAGAGGGAGTCTTCCCTTGGGCACAGACTCACGGCAGCACTACAGACAGGGTAGAACTGTCTCTGAGTTCTAAGACAGGAACTCATGGTTTTTTTCCATTTTACTTATTAATTTACTTATGCTTTATTTCAAATGTATGGTTTTATTCATTTCCTCCTTTTGATCATTATTTCTTTTTTCCCCTTCTTTTTCTTAAAAAAAATCATTTTATTGGGGGCTCGTACAACTCATCACAATCCATGCATCCATCCATTGTGCCAAGCACATTTGTACATTTGTTGCCCTCACCGTTCTCAAAACATTTGCCTTCCAGTTGAGTCCTTGGTATCAGCTCCTCATTTCCCCTCCCTCTCGCTCAGGAGAAGTGGCTTCTGACCCAGACTTTGTAGTTAGCAGCCCAACAACGCATAACCGCTGTTCTTATGGCATAGAGCAAAATAAATCTGAGATATTTAAAAAGTCTAATAAAAAATAGAGCCACAAAGAACTGAGAAAAACACTTTGTAAGTAGAACGACGTGTCACACAACACAGGGTTTATACCCGTACACGGCAAGCACACTTCCAGTTTAACAAAGAAAGACATCACACGCACAAAGCAAATGGGGAAATTTTGTCACTAATACCAGGGAAAACTTAACGAGAGAATCCATTGTCCCAAACAGGTGAGAAGGGTTAAACTACAGTGATCTAATTACTCAGGGTTGGTGAGGGGCAATGAAGCAGGGTCGCATGGTGCAGCTGGCAGGGTACGCAGGCAGGTGGTCTAGGTAAGAAAACAAAACACCCAGCCAATATCGTGTTCCGCTTTGAGGCATCGCTAGGGATGTAAAAGCCATTCAGGAAAACGGTGATACTTTTTAGCAACTCTGATCAGGCCAAAGCTCTCCTGCGGCAGTAGTTAAAGCTAACCAAAAGGTCAGTGGTGGGAGCCCACCAGCCTCTGGAGAAAGATGGGGTAGCTGGCTCTGTGCACTGAGCCTCAGAACCCACTTGACGGTGGTGCAACTGCTGGAAAGCAGGCTTGATGGGGCAGACACTGAATTGGCCACCCCACTCTCGTTTCTGAGGGCCTGAGATTTCAGTCTTTTCTTGTTTTGCTCCCCCCACCCCCTAATTTTTAGGTGACATTATGGGTTTCGCATTGTGCTGCCAACTGTAAGGTCAGCGGTTCAAAACCACCAGCCGCTCAGCAGGAGAAAGACGGGGCTTTCTACTCCCTTAGAGTCTCGGGATGCAGAGGGGCAGTTCTGCCTTGTCCTGTGGGGCTGCTATGAGTTGGGAAGGACCCCACGGCAGGGAGTTCATTTTTGGGGTTTGGAGTTTTTAGGAGTGAGATAGCTGTATGGAATCGGCACTGGATGCCAGACACGCGGACATTTCTGAGACGGTCAAGTGGCAATGCCATCCCTAGTTTCCTGGTTGCTGATGAAGCAGGAGTGAGCTCTGCTCCCAGCAGCCTGCCTTCTGGTTCGGAAGGGCACAGCACAGGGCCGGGGTCCTGGGCCAGGCAGAGCCCCGGCAAAGGAGCCCTCTCTATGTGGGCCTCTCACTGGAGGGCGTGTTAGGGACAAAGCCTGGGGGTCAGGGTGTGAAGAGAGAGAGGCGGAGGACTGCAGCCGTCCTCGGGTCTCTCTGTGTCTCCGTGAAAAGGCAGGTGTGCAAATCTTCCTAACTAATCCACGGAGCTCCATCCCATTCGACGAAAGGTTCATTTTGAGAACAAATCGAAATGACACCAACATGAGCAAAGCTAGGGTGAAGGGCTGGGAGTGGGGTGAGTGTCCAGCCCAAATATGTATATAAACTGATGGTCAGAAACCTGTTTACTGTTTTCTGTCCCCCACTTCAGACAGCATTTCGCCGCTCTTCAAAGGCCTAATCAGTTCTTAGAGACGCCTTTAAAGAGTGCCAGGCCTTCACTCTCAGAACTTGGCTTTCATGTCATTAAGGAATTTTTAATGCGATTACAAGTATGTTGTTTCTCTCCTTTCTATGAAATTTTCCATTTTTTCAGAAGCCACGGTGTGCTTAATTGGGCTTACTAAACGAGACACATACATCTCAAGTGTAAGAAACAATCCCAGGCTCTCGGAGAACAGGCTGGTGCTGCTCGCTGACCAGCCTCTGCTGGGCACTTTCCCAGCAGCTCCGCGTCGGGTGGCTGCCTCACTCGGAGCGTCAGCTGAGGTGCAGACAGCCAAAGAGATGGGTGCAGCTGCACATTTCAGCCCCCACATTTCTATGGGCTGTATTTCCTTTTGTCTATTCGAGATGGTCACCGACATCCAGGAAGTCAACGAGTGGGGAAGGGAGGGCAGGTCGATGGTGTATTACTGGCTAAGTCCAGGCGTCTTGGTGAGGGCACATAAGAACCAGAAAAATACCTTCCTCACGACCTGCTGCTGGTCCTGTGGACAGGGAAGATGGTGGTCTTGCCCGAGCCAGTGAGAACCCCCCACCAGTGGGAGCCTCGGCACCAGTAAAAGGGAGACAGGAGGACAAAGGGAGTCTGCAGCACGCGCATCACACCCCGCCACCAATCAGTCGCAGCATTCTCCTACAGCAGCCCAAGGCGGCTTGTGAAAGCAATCGGGGCTCTCAGACTACGCCCAGGCATCAATTGCTCCCCCAACAGAAACGCTCGAATCAAAGCTCAAGCATTTTCTGAACGGTTTGTTGTCAGTCAAGCCAGGAAGGTTTAAGTGGAGACAGGGAAGAGAACCAATAAAATATTCATGCATTCTTACCATTAGCATCTTGGACTCCAGTAAGTGCTCCGACGGCTGCTGCGGTTTCCCCAGACAGGACGATCTGTCCCCCCCCTTGCAAGGTGGCCTCGGCCAGGGTGGCAACGGCATGGGCGGCAGCTTCGCTGTGGGCACAGGACAGGAGAGAGGGGTGTGCATGAGATGAACAGAGGGGCAGCCGGACCATGTGTCCCCCTCAGCGCTTCCTCAGAGCAACTGATCGACTCTCACAGATCTAGCAAAACTTGTGGGTGGAGCCAGGAGTGACTCAAGCGATAAAGGTGAATGGCCAGAGAATCCCAGGTTTCTAATGTACAAAAGGGACGCCAGGCACACTCTCAGCCCCAGAAGAGGGTTCCTGAGACAGAGGCACTCCCTATCAATACTCATTGAGCAAACTGCCACAGGAGGCTCTGATCTCTGCTCAGAATGCAAAAGCCATTTTGGCTGTCAATCATGAGGTCTCCTTTTTCTCTTTCCGGTAACATAAGGCAGACTCTCTGAGGCTGCACCATTAAAGCCTGGTGAGGGTGGATGGTACGGAGTCAGCAACCTGAACTTGCTACTTAATCCCTACTAAGGAAAAACAACTGGGCTGATTGTCCATGGTTCTCAAACACGAGGTCATGGTTGATGAACATCCTGGAAAGTCGGACGCTTCCCTTTCACTCGGTGTCCATGCAGGTGAGCTAAACCCTGGAGTTTAGAGTGATCGCCAATAGCCCAAACTCACTGACCACACAATGAAACCTCTCTGCACTGCAGGACAGACACCCGCAACACTGAGAAAGACATCACCCCTCTATTCGAACTTCCTAATGCCGCCACCCTGTCATAGTTTCTCATGTGGTGGTGACCTGTATGTGGGTGGGCCTGCCTGGAGACGGATAGAGGAGCAGTGTCTTAGGCAACCCTGTGAAAGGGTCGTTCGACCCCCAGGTTGAGAACCGCTGATATAATATAAGGGAAACAGTATTCTAACAGTTTGCCACATTTTCTTTCCTCCTATATACTTTTCTCTCAGATCATTATAAGTAAGAATTGACTGGATAGCAGTGGGTTTATAAACTTTTCTTTAAATGTATGAACATCCACTTTTAAAGATTCTGTGATGTCCCCAAACAAAACAAAACCCGAAAACTCACCACCACTGAGCTGATTCCAACCCACAGCGACCCGACGGGGTAGGACAGAACTACCCCTTTGGGTTTCTGAGGCTGTCAATCTTTACGGGAATAGAAAGTCTCCTCTTTCTCCTGTGAAGGCTGGTGGGTTTGAACCACTGACCTTGTGGTTAGCAGAACTTGTAACCCACTCTGTCACCAGGACTCCCTCGTTGATGTTACGAACTGTAAACTGTAGTCTGATTTTTTTTTTTTTGGGGGGGGGTACTCTGATCTTTTCGTGCCAGTAAGAAAAACAACCAGACATTCCTCCTGCCACGTGTAAGATGCCATCCAAATTTCAGATGTTAAAGCACAAAACCAACACAGACCACCACGTGAGTTCCACCTGTCTCCTCAGAAAGCGGCAGGTGCCAATCTGTAGTTCCGAGGGGAACAACAGGGCCCTAAGTAGAGAGACAGTGTCCTTCAGGTTAGCAGCAGTGGCCGACGTTCCCGGTTGGATAACCAAATATGCCAGTCCACTCAGCATTGCTCTGATGCTGCAGAAGCCACGTGACATTGAGCGGCAGCTATCTTGAAATCATACGCTGGGATGGGTGAGGGGGTAAATGTGGCAAGATGGTGGGCAATTCCACCACTTTACTACAAGCTCGCCAACACCACTTCACGTGAGTCAGCAGTGAAGCTCTGGCCCGGACATGGCCGCTCCACTGCGGGGTTGCTAGGAGCCAGTGGTTCTCAACCTTTCTGATGCCATGACCCTTTCAGGCAGTTCCTCATGTGGTAATGACCCCCAACCATACTATTATTTTCACTGTTACTTCATCACTGACATTTTTCTACTGTTATGTATCAGGCGACCCCTGTGAAAGGGTCATTCGACCCCCAAACGGGTCTCGAGCCACAGGTTGAGAACCGCTTAAAGTATAAGCATTCTCAGAGGCAATAGAAACCCAAGAGGCAGGAAAGTCTCATTAAATAGAAAAACTTTGCTTCTTACTAACCTGCCTTGTCTTCCTAATTTTCATGTCTGTGTATTTTTAAAGCCCGCCCCCCAACCAGTAAAAACAATCCATGAAGAAAACTTAGGATGTATCTTGACTTAGGCCCAAGGTCATGATGGCGGGTTTTAAGTTTATTTGCATACGCAAAATGGGGGCTGCAACTCAGGTTGAGGCAAGAGCTGAAAGGATGCCCATTTACCAGCAAAGGGCTGGACTGGTGCTGAAAGAGCATCCGGGTGGTTTGACACCACTGGCCAGTCAGACCCTGGTCACTGGGACAGGAACTCAGGAGGAACAAAAGGCTACTTGTTACATTTTATTTGGTAGATTTTAATTTTTAAGTGCTTCAAACATATTTATCAGATATAGCGTAATGAATTACTTAGCACTTAAGCCCTTAGTTTGTACTGTTTTCCTAAGAAAGGTGTGTCGATTCAGAATGCCATCCATCAATTTTACTGTGACCAGCCACCAATGATGAATCTCAGACTCTAGCATGTGACCCCAGACTGCAGAGAGAGCCCGGAAGGAGCTGCTCAAAGCAGCTGTGTGGTATTTTGCGGCAAGGCGGTGGTGTATGGAAGTGTTTGTATGGAAATACGGTCTTTGTGTTAGGTGACCCCAGTGACCGCTCGGTCCTGCCGCAGGTGCTTGGCTGTGCGTTGTCTCATGGAGGCTGAGGGCAGCTGCACCCTGGCACACTCACTGGACTGTCTCTACATTTAGAACTACTTTCTACTGGCCTCTCTCAACTGCAGTCTGAGAGAAGAAAGGCTGTGACTGACCAAACACAGTGACCCAGCAACCACCTAAAATAACCTGGGAGGTCAGCGGTGAGGGCCCCCGGGGGTGTCCAGGTGGGTTAGGTTAGTTACATCGGACCAGGGCCTCTGTAGGGCACTGTTACATCAATGCCGAGTCGTTGTGGCTGGTCCAGCAGGCCTATCATTTCAGTCGGTCCCAGCCATCTCCACTGGACGGCACGGGACATGGCCAAACCACACTGTTAGAAAAGACCACCTTTACTTTAAGGTGACCGTGGTCAGAAACGTCCCAGGACAGGAACAATGTCCCTCACTGGACAGAAGTCATTTCCAGATCAGCTATAAATGAGAAACTGCCAACAATCCGCTTTCTACCTGGAAGTGCCCATGCTTTAGACCACAGCTGCCCTGCCCTCTGCTTCCAGAGGACAGCCGAGCTCAGGCCTCCATCCCATTTCATTTCAAATACCAGTCCGCATAGTAAAGCCACAGTCTCTTTTATTAACATAATTCACTTCAAAATAGTGATTTTTTTTTTCTCTTGAAAAATATGGTTCACTTTTCTTCCAGTAGAGTCTCTTCACAGCAAAACAACAGCAAACGGGAACTTCCTTGAGAAGAGGCACCAACTTCCGCCCGTTTTCCCCAGCGTGGCAGCACAGGACACAGCAAGTTCCTCCTGGGGTAAAGAGAGCCTCATGTATCCCCACAGGCAAGGGCTGCATTTGCAGAGGACTTGTTAGGAGGGAGTACACGTCTAGGGCAGCTTAACGGACAAGTACGTGACGACACCACATCCTCTCCTCTTGGACGTTCAGGATGAACAGCTCCACTCTTTCAGAGCTGGGTTGCTCTGTTCACTTACTCACTCTCCCTCTTGTGCCTGTTTATTGTTTATATCAAAAATGACAGCCAATATTGGTTTTGGATTACTAATGGCAATCCCTCCACGCCCTCTGGGTTGTTACCAGGCCGGGAGAGGCTGTGGCTGTGGCGTCCCGGCTGTCTCCCTGACAGGCAGTGGAGCCCCTGCCTCTTGGTCCCCACCGGCCCCTGTGCAGCCTGCCTGAATCTGAACTGGGGCAGGCTATATGGCCAGCTAGGAAGTCACTGCTTTTGCCACAGGAACAAGGACCAGCTTGCTATAGCCTGGCAGGTAGGTCTCTAGACTTCACCCCACCCCGGACCCTCACTGGGTGCTGGATTACCTGATTGCAAACAGATTTCACCATCTCCCTACTCCTCCTCCCTCTTCCTTTGGAGTAAACACTGGCCACCTCAGCTGCATCTGCGGTGCTAACAAGCCCTCCGGGAAACCATTACCCTCCTGCCATTGGAAAGAAGCCCTGGCCCTCCCAGCAAAGGGAGCCCGGGGCGCCTCAGATTTTCCACTCTGCTACGGCTTCCCAGGCACCGGCGCTTCCTTGGAACAGCTGAGATGCTGGCTGGGCTCCTCAGCAAGCGCTGAGGTCTGCTGGCCTTTCGTGGAGGCCCGTGGGGCCCATGGTGGCATGGGGTGACCAGACTAGAGCGAGGGGGGCTCTCACTCTGGCCATGCCCTTCAGGAAGCTCATCTGCTGCTTCCACTCCAAGGGGGAGGCGAGGGGGGAACTGAGCTAAGGTGTTAGCATTCCTGTCAGACTCCCACGCCACCCCAAGGCTACATGGTCCAATGGCCTCACTCGCTCACGGACTTGCTGGCTAACTGGGGAGAAGAGTTGAGCGTGTGGGTCTGTTTCCTATATATGACCTTCCACCAAAGCCTGGCCACACTCCTTTCAGGATCAGTTACTTTCTCCATTTTACAATGTTATTTTCCAAGGACGGGCCTCTCCTAACTGGTTTTCCATTTTTATTCTCTCTCCTCACTGTAATCAATTCTGAAAAGACTCATCTTTGAATCGTAAAACACCATTTACAGGTGCGTAGATCTACCCTCTGGGAGCTGACTCTGGGCTGGGCATTCAAGATGAGTGGGGAGCCACCATCTCCCTGACTCCCTCAGTCCTCGGGAGTGAGAAGTCATGCTATTAGAATGAGGGCACTGAGGCAGAGGGCAAAGTTTCTCCAACCGCTCTGAGTGGTGGAGTGAGGATTCCAACTTGGGGTTCTCTAGTGAACACATCCAATCTACAACTTTTGCCATTAAATTTCTATGGTGGCTTATGCTCTTAAGTAATAAGACCAGTCTCCTTAGTCAAGGTATAATTGGAAAGCATAGATGATTTCCCAGAATGCCTTTTCCCGGACCACCTTTCTCGTTGAGGCTCGATGACTACCCGAGGCTAATGGCTCCGGGAGACGAAAGGAGCAGAGCCCATCTTTACTGTGTGCAGGACTGCCCCAACGGACAGACAGAAGTTCACTGTCCAAGGGCACACAGCTAGTGATGGGCAGAAGCGACTTCTAAACCCAGGCAGTCTGGCCCCAAACCTCAAGCTCTAAACATTAGTTAAAATGCCTGGGTCCATCAAATAGAAACTCAGGACCGAACAAAGGCTCGGAAGAATGACATGATCTTCCCAGCTCTGTCCATCACCACGCAAAGAACAAAGCAGGGATGAACACGACACAGTTTGGGAAATGACTTCTTCCCGGACCAGCCCATTCTGTAGCCCTTTCTAACTATAAAAACACCTCCCTGGCCCCACGGGTTTCCGAGTCTGAACTTTTTTCAGATAGAAACTTTTATTTTGTAATGCATCATTTGTGCAGGGGCTTCACAACTTTGTGGGAAAGTTCCATTATTTTCTTTCTTTTTCCCCCACGAGTCTGAACTCTTTACGGGAGTAGAAGGCCCCGTCTTTATCCCAAGGAATGGCTGGTCGTTTTGAACTGCCGACCTTGTGGTGAGCAGTCCAACACATCACCAGGGCTCCTCTTCCTACCCAGAGCTGACAAAGGACATCTTCAATTCTTTTCCAGTACCCCAAACTGATTTCATATTGTGGTCACTGATGAGCAAGGGAACACAATGTCCTAAAAAGCCGGTAAAACCCAATCCTGACCTGCTGGAACATGGCCGACTATCCCCAGGGCAGTTTTCTGTGTAGGAGTGAAAGGGCAATCCTGAAGCTATGGGGTCCATTAGACCAGTGGCTCTCCACCTTCCTGATGCCGCGACCCTTTCAGACAGTTCCTCATGTGGTGGTGACCCGTATGTGGGCGTATCTGCGTGTGGGTGGGCCCGCCTGGAGACGGAGAGGAGCGCTGTCTCTGTTCCTAAGACCACTGGAAATATGGTCTTAGGCCACCGGGAGAAAGGGTCGTTTGACCCCCAAAGGGTCGAGACCCCCAGGTTGAGAACCGCTGCATTAGACAATCTCTGGCTCCTTTAAAACGACCCAGAGTTTGGATCAAAGCAGGTGGGACTGGTTGCTGAAGGGAGGAGTGAGAGAGCGGATTGGAAGGCAAACTACAAGAGCCTATGTGTGAAGAGTCTCAAAGGGAGCCCTGATGGCACAGAAATGTCCATGGTTTGAATTCACCAGCTGCTCCTCAGGAGAAAGGGATGGCAGGCTGCTCCCATAAAGATGTACAGCCTTGGAAACCCTTAGGGCATTTCTATCCCGCCCTACCGGGTCCGCACCAGGTGGAACTGACTAGATGGCCAGCGGTGGCTTCTGAAACAACTCCACTTTACACTTGAGACGAGCAGAAACAGCGTGTCTCTTTAAGGAGCCTCCATCCACATCAGGGACAAAGGCGTGATCTTCATTCCCACCACCCCTGCCCTACCTGTTGAGTGCCATGGTGACCGTAGCTCCCTGCTGCATCTCCTGAGAAGCTGCCACTGCAGCCTCTGCCAGCGATGCCACTGCCTGAGTGGCCTCTGAGGCTTGCGTCGTCTGGATGGTCATCTCACCTCCCTGTAACGTGGCCCAATTTTGTTCCACCTGAGGCAAAAAGATCAGGAGAGTGAAAATTCAAAGCACAAAATGATTATCTTCAAAAACCGTTTCCCCCTAAAAACGTGCTTTATGCTTGGCAAAACTCACACATCCACACATACTTTTATATTGACATGACCTGTAAGGCAACCCCTCCCCCACCAACATGGCACCACCCACCAAACTCACTGCCAGCAAGCCCATTCTGCTCACGGAACAGAGGAGAGCTGCCCTTTGCACTTCCGAGCCTTTAAGTCTTCACGGGAGTGGACAGCCTCATCTTTCT